CTTGCAAAAAAAACGATTTTCCTGGCCGCCGCCTTTTGAACTATATCTGCGGACTAGCGTACGCTTTGCGGGAATGACGCCCTCGGCGGCCTTTCGTAGACGGAGTTCGACTCAGACGGTGACACAAACCGCTGCTGGAAGGGCGCTCCGCGAGCTTCTCGTCCTCTCTTCCGTTCTGAACGCCGGTTTTCCTGATCGCCGCCTTTGAATCACCCACACATACAATAAATAACTTAATGTACGGAAGCACGTGCTGTGCGCGTGATAATGGTACTCGGAACGTGTCTGGATAGACCATACAGCAACTCGGCTGCGCCTCGTGCTGTATGACTATCTCGACCACGCCCCTCGTACCATTATTACGCGCACAGCACTGACTTCCGTACATTAACTATTACTTATTAGTATGCATGCCATGGTGTATGGTGTGCTGACTCAGCCATACACTCACATGTGGTGTATGAGCTCTCATACACCATGGCATGCATACTAATAAGTTGTCTTAGTGCGCATTCCTGTGGTACAAATTGGTTACAATACACGACGGTTTAGTGCATACACTACTCGTGCTACTCACTCGTAGTGTATGTCCACTAAACCGTCTCGTGGGTATAGTGTAACCTGTATACATATTAGCTAACCATCTGCGTATACACCTACACATTCGTTACACTTTTTTTGTGTAAAAATTAGGTTTTAAGTGATTTGTGAAAGTATTATGAAGCATGCACATACATACATACATACATACATACAATAACATAGCAAGTGTATGTAGGAGTAGTAGTGGACAGAACATACACTATAGCAGAAGGAGTGTGCCAGAGCTGGGAGGCGGTGGTTGTGGAGGAGGGAGGGGAGAGAGTCTGCTCCACGAGGCTGGCCAACTGGACACACCCCGACACTGATGACTGGAGCATCACCAGACATGACCCCAGAGCCTCCCTGCAGCATAATGTAGAGGACACACGTTGTGACCAACACACTCTTGCTTTTATTGTACATTGCATCTACGTGCATTTTGCATTACTGGATGAGCAAATACGAGGGTTGCAGTCACGTGGAGGAATGACTGTGACATTTCAGTTGATGCATGCACGTTTTTGAATCACATAGGACCTTACAGTAACGTCGGATAAATTAGAAGCGTGTGCGATTCGGTAAGCTCGGCTCACCAAAATGTATATTAATACTTTAGCCATCGTGTGTTCCTGATGACAGTCATGCTATGTACAAGCGCAGAGCAAGGCAGATGCAGTTACAATCACACAAAGCCCCAAACATTTCAAAATCTTGCAGAAGCACGCAGTGCAATAATCTGCGTAATCCAAATTGGGTGGTGCAAACGTTTTAAGTTAACACGGACGTCTTATGTACTTTTCATTGGTGAGAGCACTCAGTTGTTTCTGGAGGATGGCGAGAGAGGCAGTGTCCTCGCGGTGCTGTCTGTCCCTCTGGTCCTCCCTATCCTTCTCCCCTGATACAGCTGCCTGGACCTGGAGACTCAGTCTCTCCCTCTCCTCCTCTCTCTCCCTCAGAACTCCTCGATGCTCCTCCACCACATCCCTCACTTCCACCAGCTCCTCCTGGTGGATAAAAGTTGCACATGCTCTACACAGATACATAATTACATGTTCCCCCCTATACTTACACAACTACTTATGTTGGCTGCAAGTCAATAACCAGAAAAGATGCCACAGACTTGGTAAATGTGAACGTAAGAGGCACCCAGGTTCATTTTTAACAGGACTTGCAAACCTACCAATCCTTGTGCAGCAATCAGCAGAGCACACGCACACACAGAGAACAACATACACAAGAAATGTATATACCTTAACTCTCTCCAGCTCTTGGTGTACCTGTGCCACTCTCTCTGCCCCCTCCTCCTCCACCACTCTGTGTAGTATATCACAGCCAATCAACCTTTTAACACAGTGAATAGAGGCAGAGGCTACCAATGTTTTCAGCACCTACAGTGCAGTGTCTATTTGAGGATTGAGAAAATACGGAAGCTGTAGCCAATTGTTTAAGGTGGTGTAAAAGCCATACACTTGAGGGGACTTGCTGGAAACACATGTAAGCACTTAGTACAGTTTATTCAGTGGCTCAGTTGGTGGTTGAGATCACAGCATGTGTACTGGGTCACACACAAACACACGCAGTGCGCAATGTGAGGTGGCCATTCTGAGGTACTATCACTGGCTGAATATAGCCTCAAATGCACTTGCAGTACATAAATTAGAGCACTGGTATGAACATACAGAGTGTACCACTGGCCTTCAGAACCACGCTCTCACGTGCACGACACTGACACATACACACACATGAACTAACGAATAACATCATGAATTAGATAATACATACATACACAATGGACACACAAAACACAGACACAGGAACACATGCTCACTGAACCCACATATCATCATTCCCACTGACATTCGTCACAACACAATAGCAGTAAGGGAAAAACATTAGTGAAGGGGTTGTTGCACTGAATATGCATACACTGTCATTATGCATGCTGGAAGTTGATTTGACAATGCTTCCATGTAAAAGATAAGCAGGAGGGCATTAAAAAGAGGATAACCCCCTGCAACCCTGCTAGCTAAAACCCCGCTTAAAGGCATTAAGGTATTAGACCATGGGATGCCAAGAGAAAAAAGATGGGAGCTCTGAACAGCTGTTTCAGGCTTGTTGGCAGAGCATACCCCAACTTCTCTCTCTCTGGCATCACAAGTTTATAAAGGCTGACATGAGCACAGCACTTGTGGTTCTGAACTAATGAGATTCATCCCCACAAGGCTTTGCCACTGATATGTGCTGCTGACCATGCCCAGACGTTCGTGGTTTGGAGCCTAGGCCCCTCCCCACTCCTGCTGGTCAAGGCCAGCACCGAGCCAAAACCCGAATTCGCAATCTGGCATGTGTACTGGTATGGCTACACGTATATACACAGTGAGGGCTAAGATGGCCGTCCACAGCTGAACCTGTATTTCTGCAGCATCACTTGCTCGATATATACCTGAGTTGGGAGGTGTGCTCGCTCTGTAGCTGCTGGAGTCGACACTGGAACTCCTTCTCTGTTCTTGTCATCACACTCTTCTCAATCACCTCTCTGGCCTTCACAGACACAACATAAGTCACACAATGTACGTATTTTGAAACAGCTGTCATCATAAATCACTTCTTCCATTTTAAAGGACTCAAATCTACATATATACAACAGTGTTGCACAATACACCACAAATGGCGAAGCCTCAAATACCTGTGCTAGCTAGGGCACAGTTAACGCTCACTTGTACATGTTTACCTGAGCCATATTTTGCTGGTGGGAGAGGGTGAGTGAGTCCAGCTGTGTCTGGTACTGCTGCTGCAGGAGACCGACCTCTGCCTTGTGGGACTGGGTCAACTGCAGACACAACACAAACATAACATATATACAGATGTACAGTAATACGTTGTTTGGTGTCTAGACAATGTGAAGGGAAATGGACTTTTGTGACACAAAATCATGTTGAGTTGGTTTGCATCACACAACACATCACACCCATCGCGCCACGGACTCCAGTAATGTACATTTGTATTATGTGTGTATTTGTCATCAGAGGCTCTCTCACCTCCTCCAACTCTTGGTGCAGTCTGGTGTCAAAGTCCTCCCTGAGCCTCTCCACCTCCTCCTGATGTCTCCCTCTCTCCTCCTCTCTCTCTGCCTCCAGGGCCACTACCCCAGCCTGGTGTACCTCTCGTAGCATCTCCTCATACTTTACCGCCTGCTCCTTGGCAGCCTTAGCCATTGCTTCCCCAACGTTAACCCCCTCCCAGCTCAGCCTGCAGAGTTTGAATCGTCTCACGTGCGGCTAATAGTTGCCCCTCAAAGTCAGTCTGAAGCTGTTCCCGCTGCTCCACCAGGGCCTGTTTGTGGATGTCTTGAGCTCTCCTCAGCTCAGTCTGTAGTCCTCCTTCCAGAGCCATTCTTAGAGTTTCCAGAGCAGCCTCCTTGTCTCTGGTACACTCTTGCCGAATCTCCTCGACTTGCTCCAAGTACTTTGCCTCCATCTCACCCCGCAGTGTTTCTTCTCTCTCCTTCCACTCCTCTCCCTTATCTTCTTCGGACTGCGTCTCTTTTTCACGCTCGCTACCAACAGCTTCTTCAAGAACTGATACCCTTCCCTGGTACTCGGCTCTAACAGACTCTAACTCCACCTTACAAGCTTCCACTGCCTCTTGGCATTCCTGGTAGAGCCCATTTCTTGCCTGTGTCTCTCCTCTTGCTCCCTCTCCAGCTCCTCCACAGCCCTCTGCTTCTCCAGCCTCAATTCCCGACTTATCTCCTCCACTTGTGCTGCATTCTTCAGCGCTGAGTCCGTCACGGCCTCTGCTAGTTTGGCAGTAAACTATTCCTCGAGCCTCGACTGCAGTGCCTCACTCTGGAGGGCAAATTCGCCGTGCAGATTCTGCTCCTGTGCCTTCAGTTCACTCCAGTGTTGTCGTGATAGTCTCTCTCGCTGGAGTCTCAGTTCTTTCTGGCCACGGGGACCCAGCTGGGGGCTCAGTCGAGGAATCAGACTACCCTCCCTCTCACTACTCTCCCCACCTTCCACCTCCGTCTCCTTCTCTAGTTGAGCTCTGATGGCCTCCACCTCTTCCCTGTGCTTGTTTTCAGTCTCAGCCAAAGCACGCTCTAATTCCTCCTTATAATTTGCCTCGGCATTTTTCAATTCCTCCTGTGCCTCAGTAGACGCTGCCAGAGCGTTTTTTTCACTCTCCTCCAAATGGTGTTGTTTAAGATGCTCTATTTCAGCAGCAAACTCCTGATGGTGAGTCTCGACCTCCGCTAGCTGTGCGGCCATGTTCTTCACCTCTTCCTCTTTCTGAGCCAGCCACTGCTACAAGTCTCTCTCAAACTGGGTTCCTTCATCAATGTCCCCCACCTCCAAGAACTGAGTGATGCCAGCTTCATCTAGGGTGACCCCTGATACAACTGAAACCTCTGCTGCTCATCCTGCATGCGTCGTATCCACAGTCGACGGCTCCATTGCGTTCTCCTGTTGCTCGGGTGCTGTACCGCCAGCCGAGCCATCCCAGAGACTAATGGTGCCTTCCTCAAGCGGTCCAAAGGCCTCAAGTACTTCTCCCTGATGCTGTTGCTGCTCTGTTTCGAGAGGCTCTTCTCCTACCACCGCCTCTTCGTGCGGAATCTGTTCAACATTTCCATCTCTGCCCACAAATTCAACTCCTAGTCTGAGAATAGTTTGCGGTTCGCCGTGACTAGGAAAAGGGTATATACACCAACCATGCACAGAGAACGGGCACACTTGAAACTCACAGCTGCAAAATGTCTTTCCTCAGGACCGATGAAGAAAGCAGCCAGCAACGCAAATTTATTGCGCGCACTTGGCGAACGCCCACTCACACACTCTAAACCGCGCACACTAAAACACACAATAACGTAGCAAAAAGTATTAATATGGACATAAAAAGATTTGTAGTCCAACTTCAAACAACCCGGTGATAGGAATATACGCTGTATTCTGAGCTGTGGGCTGCGGGCTGCACTGGTATCAGTATTGGACAGGAAGTCCTTATCACAACATCTAGCGCTGGGCGTAGTGCAAATTGTCTGGCTTCCAAAGTTTACACAATAGTCAGTACATTAATGCAAGATGACACAGCAGAAATTCAGCATTGTGATTGGCTAGTTGGACTACAAATCAGTTAACGTCAGGCGTCTTGGCGCGTACAGGAAATCCTCCTCGGCTGTTAACTATACCGCGCCTCGGGCTACGCCCTCGTCCGGTATAGTCAACAGCCTCGGAGTATCTCCTGTACCGCCTCGCCGCCTATACGTTAACTAATACGTGTACATGTTGTTGTGCAATATTATTGTACGCAGTAAACCCTAAAGGTTCCAGAAGATTGTGCGTGGGCGTATGTTTCAGATATTTTTTTCAATAGCACAGCTAAAACGCTCTTGATTTATAGTGAATTTAGGTATATTATTTCTCGGATTTTTCCTACCTTGTTTTCCAAACTCATTAGCATATTCATATTCCTCCTCCATACATTCTCTATGGGAGAGAAAACTCGTGCGCGACTCACCCAGGAGCGAACGGTCCGTCTCCATTATGCGCAGTGGCTTTCTTTGCCTGCTTCGGTACGCGGGAAGCTAATTTTGCGCTATAGAAAAAACTGGCGTGACCGGGTGGCAAAGGTCAACCTGAAAACGTAATGTTCAAAACTTGGCCACGCCTATTTTTCGGGATGGCTCCTGTGCGTGCCGCAGGAGGCAGAAAGAACGCCATTGCGCATAATGTAGACGGACCGTTCGCTCCTGGGTGAGTCGCGCATGAGTTTTCTCTGTTACCATAAAGATGTAGTAGTTTGTGTGCTTCATAAATGTTTGTGAAAAGAACTACCCTCTTACAAAAAAGTTTTGCTATAATACGTGTGATTTATAAGCGAGGCTTTGTCCGTGTCCGTCTCCGTCTGTCTGTCTATTATCACGTTTTCTGCCACCACGCGCAACGAGACTACAAAAAAGCGATACCAAAAGGTTCAACGCTACAATGGCTTGATTTAAGAATGGCCATTTTCGTAAAAATACTGCGTTTTAAAGTTATGGCGTGAAAACCATGTGAACAAGCCAATAATATTATGCTAAGTAGCATAGGCCTACTTCGACCGGGTCCGCTTGCTCTGTGTATCTTGAAGGCACAAGAAGTCACAACGAAGGGCGTGTATCGACTCCCGCATGCTATCTACTACTGTAGCTACCCCGTGTCAAACTCTCCGCGAGTAAATGCATACTATAGCCCAGCCCATCAATTTAACGGTACCGCGCGTGCGCAGTTCGCCGAGGCCTGGGAGCTCAGAGGTAGATCACTCGTCTAGAGCTAGAGCAATGATTTATGGCATAAATTTGGCTTGAATACAACAACACTATCCTGCAGTTTGCAAAAATACTGAGAACTTCGTAAAGAAGAGGTCGTTAAATTAGGTGATTTTCTGCCTATGTCATTACGAGTTGTTTGTATATAGGAAGTTCTGGAGAATGTGACAATCAGAGGTAATCTGGATGCTCCTGAGGCCACTCTGGAGGCTCTCCTGCAAACAGTTGTCTGTCTGGACGTGAGTTATTGTAAACATCACTTTTGTGTCTGTATACAGAAGTATGGAAAAAGTAAGAAATGTTATGGAGCCCCAAAAAACCGCAGCGACATCCTTATTGCTTCCTCTCCCTAAAGCCATTCACTTTCATAAGTTGAAAGAATGACAAAAGCTTAAATTTGTCATCAAGCTAAGGAATGTCATTCATATAGCATTCAAAGGTCCAAGTCTCAGATCTTGTCGGGGGAAGGGAACTGGAGGGTGTCACTGGTGGATGGGGATAGTCAGGGTGTCTTGGAGGGGAGACAGACCCCAGTATTTCACCTGTAGATACACACCCCTTGCTCTTTCTTTGCAACACAGTATAGTGTTTTTCATCATCACTGCATGTGCCAGATTTGAAATAAGCTTGACCAATAATGCATGTGTTATAGCATTGTCAAGGGTGTAAGCACACTGCCAGATACTGAGAGATCGAATATTAGCTACATAGCTACTCATTGTACCCATTGGATGCTGCACCACTTCTCTTTTCTAATATGTGTCCACGTTTAGCTGTGCTAACAAATGTCCACTGTCAGTAAAGTCGTTTTGCCTGTCACGGTGTCTTCCCATTTCCTCAGGAGGTTGGATGGAGGAATGGCAGTCTGAGGATAGTCATGATCCTGACTGATGCTGGATTCAAGACTGCTCTGGATGGAAGGGTATAATATGTACTTGGAAATATACCTAGGACAATCCACCGCTCAATGGTGGCCATATTTCTGAGCATGTAACTCAAGGCATAACTGATAGCAGCCTACAAGCAATACTGTCGGGCTGCCATCAATACGGTGTATGGATAAAAGGATGATACAGGTGTTTACAAGGTCTCTTACTGTCTATCCAGGTGGCTGGACTGGTGACCAGAAATGATGGAGAGTGCCATCTGCAGATGAATAAGGAAGGATTCTATGAGTACTTTATAAGTCCTGAACAGGTTATAGTCTGATTGCAGAGTGTTGGTCCATATTATTATCTCTTAAGGTTACCAATCACTAACTAATGAAAAGCACTAAAGTGCAAATCCTCGGCGCATTGTGACGCGCACGCGTTAGTAAACGCGCGTGCGCTGTATCACTAATAGCTGGGCTGGGTTTAGTTTTAAGCTGTCTCTTGCCAGCTCGCGCAGAGTCTGACGCGGGCTAACTACGCTACTAGATAGCATGCGAGAGGCGATACACGCCCTGCGTTGCATTTTCTGGTGCCTCCGAGGTACGCAGAGCACGCGGATCTACCGGACCGTGGTAAGCCATCCCGTCCGTTGCATATTTGCATATTGGCTTTTTCGCGCTCTAGCTTTGCAACGGAGCATTTTCAGAGAAAACTCCACAACTTTTCTGACCTTCGTTGCCCGTTGAGTAGGTCGTATGGTTTGTGAGACGAACAAACACTCGAGAAGTGAGATGTGGACTAACAGACACACAGACAGACACACAAACACAACTGCTGTAACCCTCGCTGCGCATGCGCGCCGAGGGTTAAAAATTATACTGAAAAGCAGCAGTGTTCAAGTTAAAAGTCCTGAACAGGTTATAGTTTGATTGCAGAGTGTTGGTCCATATTACTAGTGGAAATGTAGAACATTGTTGGCGAGCGGGAGCGACCCAACTTGGGATTTGTCCGCGATGTTCGGGCTGCACAATCGTGCGCGTCAGCGCACAGCTTTCCTTTCGTGAAGCAAGACAGAGTTACCTGTCGCCGTTACATGCGTACTGTATATTGCCAGAACGATGAGCAGGTGAGCAGAACGGTCCTTACCTTACGCTTTCAGCTCGTCTGTCGTGGTCCACCAGGCAGCTGGCATGGCAGTAGGCTAGGCAGCGATCGATATCAGGCTGCTCGAAAACGCGGCGTGTGTTAGCCTGTGTTTGAAAAATTATGTGTAAAAATTTGGAAATAATTTCGGATAGAAAGAAGCACGTACAAAGTCGCGCATGCGCACTTACACGACGTACGACGGTCGGTCGTATATAGAAAAATCGGCCCGTTGCGACGACTAGGTTGGCTCGCTCCCGCTCGCCTACTAGTAGGCGAATGCATGGCATTTTTGGAGCGAGCACACAATGACTCTATCTGCACGAGCCATCCAACAACTTGAACTTTAGAATCACGAAGATTGGAAGGAGGTATAGACAGCCTCGGTTAGGTATCGAAGAGCGCAGCGAATGCCAGTAAATAGACGAGAGTTCTTTGGTTGGCTATATTTCGCACGATATGACAGCTAGGCAGCGTCACCAGCGTGTAAAAATTTGCGCCTTCTCCACACGAAAGCGACGCTGATACAGACGAGCCTCTCTGCTAGGAGTCTCACGGGCACGATGTTCTCTTTCCCACTCACTTCGACAACGATGGGCATCTTCCACGGACTATACGCACAACGTGCATACGAACGACATCATCACAGGCAGGCAACATGTGAAATTTTGAAATCCTTTCGGATAAAAAGAAGCGCGTAATCATTGGGCATGCGCAGTTGGACGACGTACGGTCGAAAATCCGCGCCGTTCGTACACCATCACTAGGTTAGCTCGCTCCCGCTCGCCAATTATCTCTTAAGGTTACCATTCACTAACTAACGAGTGGAAATGTTGAACATTGTTGGCGAGCGGGAGCGACCCAACTTAGGATTTGTCTGCGATGTTCGGGCTGCATAACGTGCCGTCAGCGCACAGCTTTCCTTTCGTGAAGCAAGACAGATCTACCTGTCGCCGTTATATGCGTATTGTATATTGCCAGAACGGTGAGCAGGTGAGCAGAACGGTCCTTACCTGACGCTTTCAGCTTGTCTGTCGTGGTCCACCAGGCAGCTGGCATGGCAGTAGGCTAGGCAGCGATCGATCGGGCTGCCCGACAACGTCCATCAGGTAGCTGGCATGCAGCAGTATGTGCACGAGCAATGCTAGCGTATTTGCAGCTTGGAATCATGAAGACTGGAAAGAGGTACAGCCTCGGTCAGTCACCGAAGGTTGCAGAGCATGCCGTCGAATAGAGGAGAGTTCTCTGGCTGGCTAGATCGATCGGCGCATATCGCGAGGCATGTGTGTGAAAATGTGTAAAAAGGTATAAAAAGAAGCCGCGCATGCGCACTTACACGACGTACGAACGCATATATATAATTATATATATTATATATATATATATAAATACACAGAAAATTCCGCTCGAACGAACGACTAGGTTGGCTCGCTCCCGCTCGCCAATAACTAGTGGAAATGTTGAACATTGGCGAGCGGGAGCGACCCAACTTGGGATTCGGATAAAAAGAAGCGCGTACAAAGCCGCGCATGCGCACCTTACACGACGTACGGCCGGCCGGTCGTATATTATATAATTTATATATAGAAAATTCCGCTCGAACGAACGACTAGGTTGGCTCGCTCCCGCTCGCCAACTAGTAGGCGAATGCATGGCATTTTTGGCGAGCGGGAGCGAGCACACAATGGCTGTATCTGCACGAGCCTATTTACAACTTGAACCTTAGAACCACGAACATTGGAAAGAGGTATATACAGCCTCGGTCAGGTATCGAAGAGTGCAGCGAATGGCAGCGAATAGAGGAACGTTCTTTCGCTGGCTAGATTTCGCATCGATATGACAGCTAAGCAGCGTAATAAGCGCGTTCCCTATCACGCAAGCGACGCTGATACAGACGAGCCTCTCTCTGCTCAGGAGTCTCACGGGCACGATGTTACCTCTCTCTTCGACGACGAAGGGAATCATCTTCTCTGGACTGATCCATGATCGATTGCGAGAGTACGGAGCTACACACACACGCGTATACGCACATGTATACGCATGACATTATGACAGGCAGGCAGCATGTGAAAATTTTGAAATCCTTTCGGATAAAAAGAAACGCGTAATCTTGGAGCATGCGCAGTTGGACGACGTACGGTCGTAGATATAATAATTATGAGGAAAATTTCGCGCCGTTCGTACCACTAGGTTACCTCGCTCCCCCTCGCCAATTATACTGAAAAGCAGCAGTGTTCAAGTTATGGAGACAGTGTGTGTGTGTGTTGGTGTTTTGAAGAAAAAGAAAGGAGAGTGCTAGGGATTGAGTGGCTTTTGTCCGCAGTACACATTTGCATGGGGCTTTTGAATGCCTATGCACCACAGCCCGATCTCCCACCCAACCATAGCAACTGGCGGCCCTTCCATGTTAAGTGTCAGGTTGTTGTATATAGTAACATTGTATAAGCACTGGAGCCCATCAGCAGATCATTGTGTAGGCACAGGATTCGGTCCCTTTAATCTCCCGACCTGTGCTTCAATACCACTGAGGCGGGACCACTCCCACGTAACGGAGTCTGGTATGTACGCAGTCCAGTCGGTTTGTCTTGCTAAGCTATTAGTTTGTCATGCTATAGTTCAGTTTGTCCGTTTTTAACGTCCTATGTTAGGTTGTGACAGTAAAAGATGGTAGTATGCATGCACAGGAAGTTTACCTACATCCTTACTGCCTTGTTGTGACGAGATTAGACAAGATACACTGCCTTGGCCTGCTGGCATATTCTTCCAACCACTGCCGTGAGTACCAATAATTGCGTGGGCGGCTGAGCATGCGCTTAGTTTTTACTACAATTATAGGAATGGCAATGGGGAGTTTTTACTCTGAGTGTGCTTGTGTCTGCGTGCGTGTTAGGAAAGCTTGTGAGCGAAAACGGTCCTGTGTAACTTTTAATATGAAATTTGCTGACAATTGATTTTACGCTGCAGATGTGCAAAAGAGGGCATAACGCAGTTTAGCATAGGCATAGGAAGGAGAATGTGGGTGGGGGGACCAGGTTTAGGCATAAGGCTTATGGCTAAACCTGGCCCACGTGATATTAACATTATCTTAAAAGTTACCAAAAAAAGATCTCCTCTCATTTACAGCAATAAAACTTTTAGTCCAATACATCAATAGAGTCAGTCCTTACTTTGTGTATATGCAGCATGTGTCATAACGCCTAGGTGCTCTTCTTTGACGTCGCAAGGTATATAGGCTCAGCTGTCAAGTCTTTAGACTTAGTAACAACATTGGCATAGAAAGAGCTAAACACTTCATCACTTCGTTGACATTCAAAAAACACTCACTGCAAGCTTAGAAGCCTCAACTGCTTCTTGAACTGTCGTCTCTTTCCCCTGCAGTGATAGAGAGAATTGTTCTGTAGCTGAAAAATGAGATGTGACACCATTAGCCCAAAGTATGTGCTAAATCTTTCCATTAATGTTAGAAACCCTGCGGCTTTCGATGCATACTCATCTGTTCCCTGCTGAATTACTTCTAGAGCACTTGAAGCAAATGATATTTGGTCAAAATAGCATCAAAGGCCCTGGTCCTAACAGTCCATCTGGTAGGACACAGAGGTTTCAAGGTAGGCACGCTGGATGAAACTTGCGCTTGGAGGGTTTAAAACAGACTACTTCTCTTCGGAGAGAACCTGATTAGCTGAATTAGGCCCATCGACAGATCTAGAGCATCACGGACACATGGTACTTGAAGACATAGATTGGTGCAGTGGGCAAGGCAGTGAACAAACACAGCAGTTTCCTCACACTGCTGTATGGGGGCTAAGACCCCAACCAAATGCCCACTCATATTGGAGGCCCCATCATATGCTAGACCACGACATTGGCCAATTGGAAGTGCGAAGCGAATCAAGCAGTCTTTAATCACAGTAAAAAGAATCTCTGAGACATGCATATTTGGAGTTGGGGCATCATTGGTGGTTTAATTACCCCGGTCTGCTCTTACATACTGAGTGAGAGTGTACTGTACCATAGCACAGTTGTTTGAGGTGTGCCTTTGTGTTGTATTGTGTTGTGTTGTATTGTAGATTCGAACCTATACCAGCTGAGCTGCCCTGGTAGCTCAGTTGGTAGAGCACTCGCCTAGACTGCAGAGTGTCGTGGGTTCCCACCCAGGGCAACTCTTTCTCTTTTCTGGAAAGAGCTGTCCTGGGTGTAGTTGACTTGTTTGCCTTGCCTTGCCTTTCTACCGCGCTACCAAGACGTTGAGACATGCATAATGTGTGTGCATTATGGCGACATGGAAGTCGTGTAGGGCGGGTTTTACAATATTAAGAAAAGTGAAGCAAACAAATACTTAATGAACTGGACTGTATTGCCTTTTTCACCTAATTGCAGGATTTTCCCTCCATTTATCAAGTACGGGAGAAGTTGATAGAAAACGACATCATCACTATATTTGCAGTACAAGAAGATGTTGTCAGAGACCGGACATCGACAAAGAATGATGTATATAGGGTTAGTGCTAATAGACAGTAGAATCCCTCTCTAAGGACACCACTAAAAGAGGACACCTCTCTAATAGGTACACCTTTTCTGTCCTCTTAGAGAAGGGTAAGGCACCTCTCGGACATTATATGTATGTCGAGAGCCTCCATACACCCATAAGAATGTATATAGGGCTATAATACTATGTTATGCATCAATTTCTGCTTATTTAAGCAGATACCGGCTATACCCATGGCATCCAAAAGGGTTAAGAACACGTTTTCTTTCCCCAAGAACAGTTTTTGCATCCTAAAAAAGGATTCCTCCCTCTTTGTCTTCTGACCCACTGGTGTCTGGATTGGAGGAGAACCACTGATATTGTTATGTTTTGGTAACTGCAGGAGCTGGCTGGGGAGATTGGTAGCTCCAGGGCTTTTGTTCAGACCATAGCTGAGGACTCGGCTGACATTGTTAGTGTCATCAGAATGGCCTACGAGGTAATGTCTATAGCTTACCTAAATGAAATTTTGGTGAGCAAAGCGGCCTGCTGTACATGACATTCACACGCGCTCTGAGTCCAAGTGTACATGTATGTTATACCCGCACTCACACAATACTGCAGAGTGTAACAAGAGACATAGTTGTGGACAGCGTATCTGGACTCACAATTGGGATTGCCCCTGTCCTCAACTGCAATCTGTGAGTTGTGGTTCCAAAACACACACATGCATTTAAAATAGCTACATGTAGTAGTCACTGAGGTATTATGTATATACATAGGTTTATTAGCAGACAGACACACAAACCAAGTACTGTAACCCATGAATGTAGATACTCATGTGACCCGAGGGTTAACTGTACATAGTTGCTTGAACCTTGCAGTACATGTAGCTCTCTAAAGGCTTATGACTAAAACACAGGACCTCGGATGGGAGAGGTTGTGCCAATGTGGCCATAGAAGATCTCGTGATTTTCAATGTCACAGTCACCATGGACCAGTGTCTGAAAGACATGCAAACGTAAGTCTTAGTAATTTGGTTCATAATACTGTGTGCGTGTCAGTCGCAAGTCTAGCATTTACGTACACAACTCGGCACAGCTTATCATTGAATCCGGTCCTCCCCCTTCACCATGTATGTAAGCACAGCTATAGGCTAACCAACAGTAACAGATCACATGTTTTATAGAATTACTTTCTCTCCAGTCGACTTCTACCTCTGCCTGGATTTGGTAATGTGGAGCTGACCCTGGTACCTATCTGTGAATGCAACTGCTCATCACAAATAGTAATGCTATATGCATTGTGCAGTGCTATATGGACTATCTACTTTTTACAGACTGCAAACCACACGTCTTGCAATGGCACAGGCTCTCTTGTGTGTGGGATCTGTGATTGTTCAGGGTAAGAAGTATTGCTGTGTTGTGCATGCAGTTATGTACGTATCATCATGCTATAGTCATACTGATATAGTGCTGCTGCATATTTTGATTGCAGAGAATCAGTTTTTGGAGAGCAGTGTGATTGTGATCACCAGCTGCAGCGTTGTCCGTAAGTGATGACGGTAGTATTTGCAACATTGTGTAATAACAGCAGGTAGAAAAAACAGTTTTGATGTCCCGTTCGTTTACAGGTGCGGCATATATCCGTAAACATGCAAGATTCTCGCAAAGCTTACTAGCAGCCGCGCAGTTTATAGCCTTCCTCTCACTAGTTGAATTGAAACATTGTCTTTTTCCAGAGACGACTGTTTCAATAGAGGAACTTGCAACAACTGCTCAGGAGAGTGTACCTCATGTTTTACACAACCGGTAATTCAGTCTACTGAAGAATATGTAATACACAGATTCATTATGTGCTCATAAGTCTTGTGAAGGTCTTTTGAACATTCCCGTTAAGCCCTCCATACAGTGTGTACATTATTAGGGCTAAATAAATCACATTACTAATGAAAAGCACTAAAGTGCAAACACTCGGCACATGCACTGCACATACATGCATTACTGCTACTTAGACCAAGCGCGGCCGGCTCGCACCCTCCCACACCACCCACAGACATCCCACATGCGCAAAACAATCCCATAATAATTATACACATGCGCTAGTTAATTGCTTCTCTACCACACGGACGGAGACGAGGGAAGGCCAAGTTTCGAGGTTACAGCCGTACTCGTGGCTTTTCGCTGAGCTAGGCTTCCTTCATAGCGCATCGCTAGACGCCTCCTTTGTACGTTGTATGCCCTCATGGCCACGGAATCCAGTCGAGGTAAGCCTGTGCTAATTACCAATTGGCTTTTTCACTTGGTTTTCATGCCATAACTTTAGAACACAGTAGTTTTACGAAAATCGCCTTTTTTAAAATGAAGCCAGTGTAGCACTGAACCCGTTACTATCGCTCTTTGGCCGATTTCTTGCGCGTGGTGGCAGAAAACATCGTAACAGACAGACAGACAGACACACTTACGAACCAAGTACTATAACCCTCTAGCGCATGCGCGCCGAGGGTTAATGGTGGAACAAAACAATAGGGCTCAGAGCAAGAACGCAATGAGTTTCCATTTTATCCCTATGTATATACTGCCACATTGCAGGACACTATAGGTGGTGTGTTTCAGATAGTTGGCAGCTTTGGAGAGAGATGTCAGTGTGACAACTCATCTGGTACTGGAGCCTGTCCTGTTGGGAGAGATATAGACCAAGTCTGCAGTGGTGAGTGTTGGGAGGGATATAGACCAAGTCTGCAGTGGTGAGTGTTGGGAGGGATATGGACCAAGTCTGCAGTGGTGAGTGTCGGGAGAGATATAGACCAAGTCTGCGGTGGTGAGTGTTGGGAGAGATATAGACCAAGTCTGCAGTGGTGAGTGTCGGGAGAGATATAGACCAAGTCTGCGGTGGTGAGTGTTGGGAGAGATATAGACCAAGTCTGCAGTGGTGAGTGTCGGGAGAGATATAGACCAAGTCTGCAGTGGTGAGTGTTGGGAGGGATATGGACCAAGTCTGCAGTGGTGAGTGTTGGGAGAGATATAGACCAAGTCTGCAGTGGTGAGTGTTGGGAGAGATATAGACCAAGTCTGCAGTGGTGAGTGTTGGGAGAGATATAGACCAAGTTAGCAGTGGTGAGCAGGCCCCAGCCAGCCATGTGTGTTTTTGTCGTAGAAGTCAGTCCACTTTGTTTTACTAACTGAACTGATATTGGCAGAAATATGGGAGACTCTGAGCATTAGAGCAATGCAGCTTTGAAATGTTTGACATAGCTACCACCCCCACCAATAATTATGCCAACTACCTAATGTTGCTGTGGAAACATTGGCATTGCGAAAAAATTAATAGTGTTGAATGTGAACTAAAAATAATATTTTTTGATTAGTACTGTGTGAAGCTTTTGATCAATGATTATTCAAATGCCATCATATCACATACTTGTCAGTCTACAGTACGCACTCTCAGGTCAAGTATGTCACAGTAATATACACCTTACGTACCCAGGTAGGGGAGAGTGTGTGTGTCATAGAGAGAAGTGTGACTGTGACTGTGAGTGTGGGACAGCTCCTCTCTCTGGTCAGCAGTACTCTGGAGATGACTGTAGCTGTGACCCTGACAACTGCAACAATGAGCAGTTCCCTGGTGTGAGTTGATAGAGCACTTACAAATCTGTGTGTGTATGTGTGTGTGTGTGCAATGGGCTGTGAGATAGAGACACAACTTGGTTTGCTTTTGTCAACAGAGAGTATGTGCACACAGTCATGACAGAGAGAAGGACGGAAAGTGCGACTGCAATGATTGTCTGTGTGACACAGACTCTGTCTCATTCAACAGGACTTGTATCTACAAAGTATGATCCACTGACCTATTGAACGAACTAAGCGCATCTAAATTCACACAGGACCACCTATGTAGTTTCTTTGTGTCATGTGCTCTGTGCTGGCCTATGAACTGCTCCATAGGAGACTGTCACCCCAGCACTCTGGATTACCTCAGTGCGTTCTTACCTTACAATCGTTACTATTAGCTCTCTTTCTCCCTACAGATGGTGATGGGGTATCAGTGTCTTGTACATTTGAACGGGACGGATGTACTGTGGACTATCAGGTGGTACTGTCTGGGGCCTTCAACACTATGGGCAGTGTATTTGTTGGAGGAGAGAGAGGTCTGACAACAGATAGTTTTCTGTAGGCTTTGCTTCCTTACATCTGTTGATTTTTGCAGATTGTCAGGAGTCAGACATTCTGGGTCAGCTGGCCTGGATCATTCCTGTGTCAATCAGTGGAGGTATTCTATTGCCAGGACTGCTGCTACTAGTTGCCGCCACATGCATTCGGATTTGCAAGGTACATTACTAAACATGGTAGTTTGTGCTAGTCACTCTTGGATTAGGTTTGAGTATCTATATTTTTGTCTTTCTTTTACAGTGCAACAATCCCATCTGTGCAAGTAAGTTTAAACAACTTGTAAGTTTGAGAGTAGTAAATAGTTAATTTTTGCATGGGTGTTGGCGATCATGTATGAAAATTCTCTCACACAAAGTGATCCTCATTTTTTAAGCTAATGTTATTGTTTGCTGCAGGAAACAGTTCTTATACAGATCCAAGGTAATTATGGAACAGTGTATTCCTTCTGACGAGAAGTAGTCAATAGCACAGTTTTGCAGCAGCAGTGGACTAATTACTATAATATTATACTAAAATGTGATTTCCTCCCTTTACAGTGGCAGAGCAGTAATCTATGAGACAGTTGGCGATGATGACAGTCACCCAGACATTGGAGTCTATGAAACAGTGGATGATGTACGACAGCAGCATTGGGTGGCTGAAACTGGTCCAGCCACTAGAGAGAATTTGGCATATGGAGTCTCTTACCGTGTCTCCACAGCACCCAACCCTGCATATGTAGTGGTGAACAATAACATTCGGCCTTGTCTCTAGGACAGGGAAAGATCGTGGAGAAGTGTTTTTTAGCTACACACTCCTTACTGTTCTTTAGTGACATATTATATTCATGCAGTCTAAGCTGTGTTTACAACAGGATGAGCTAAGTGAAAATGAGTGTAAAGTGTAAGTAAATTTGTGATAGTGAACTATGATCGTGTAAATAGGTAAACATATAACTGCGATTTACTAAAAGCTATATACAATACAGCCTTGACTGGTGCGATGCAGAAGTGGTTGAAGTAAGCGTAGTTGTACCTGAGCACATGATGAAAGGCACTGTGTATCATCTGACACTACTGAAGAGATTACTGGAGAGTGTTGGAAGGGATCTGAATTGGAACTACGACAGAGTATAGCAGATCGGCAGTATAATACAAGTAACTTACTTATCTGACAGCCAAAGAAATGATTGTTCGAGTAGCAAGAGCTAAATTTACCTACTTATCAGACTGCTGATTCTGCTCTGTGTTTTGTTGTGTCCTTTCCTACTTGTTTCTTGGTCAATATAAGTGAATCAGAGACTGAGAGGGTACGTGCCTGGAAGAACTATACACTAGCTATTTTAGGAGCCCATAGGTGTGTGTTTGTCGGTGCAAGAGATTTGCTTCAAACTTTTCTCTGCCAACATGCAGTTGTTGTGATGGTTTCAATGCGCTGGCATCTGGTCACCGACAATTCATTGCATTCACTTTAGTGTTGTACACTCCGTTTTAGGCTATACATCTATTGAAAAGCACAAGACCTGCACCTATCAGTCTATGCATTGGTGAACATGCATAGACTGATTATGTGCATGCATGGTCAATTTGCCTACTTCTCCCCATATGACTTCACCTTAGTTTACCAATTAACTACAGAGCAATGGGAGGAACTTCCGTCATAACCATGTCAGAACTCTGGACTAGTCATCATCGACAGGGAGCTTACTGCTGTGGGGGGAGACGGTGGATGCCGTGCCAATCCTAGCACAGTCAATGCCACACCTCATTTCGTGGACACCTCTCCCTTGTTTGCCAGTGACACACTCAACAGCTGCCAATCTCTGTGGACAGCTAGTACTCGTTGGTGGCAAGCGAGACGGGTGACCAGTCAACTCCATTCTCCAGCTGGTGGAGGGACAGTGGGTGGAGATTGGCTCTATGGCTTGTAGTAGGAACTACTGTATAGTAGCAAGTCCATCACAACTCAAGATAATCATAGTGGGTGGATATAATTTTCTCTCCGGCAAGGAAGGCGGTGTTGAAGAATGTGCAGTTGTTTAGTTATTAATGCACAGATTTCTCCTTTTACTGCGGTCTAAGTATATGTTTTGATTACGCATCCAAGTCACACAGCGTGATGTATACTCATAACTAGGAACCAATTCCCAGACCAATGAAAGCATAACATAAATCCTTGGTGCAGAATCATGTAAAAAACAACCGTTTAACTTCAAGAGACTGGCTGACATGTGACTGTTGGTGACAATGTCCTTCTCTCCGAGCAAGTTCCCCTGCCTCCACCTCTTCATACCAAAACCAGCAACAGTGTATACAAAATAATCGCTGCTCTTATGACACTGCATACAACATGTGACACGTACTATTGGACGATGCAAAGCTTCCCTCCAGAAGGCCTGTTGCTTAATAGCTATTCCCCCAACCCTTTGCAACAAAAACCTGGACCCTCTACCAAACCTACAGAGTAGTTTGTACTGTATAGCTAGACTACCCTTCTTAGTTTACTCATACAACGTTTCTAGTTAAATTCCAATTACCCATTTTTGTTTGGGCGTGGCATTACTTTGAATTCATTTTCTTATTATTCACAAGAGTTTTGAAAGTGCCTTAATAATATTCATCAAATATTCACAATCATGATTCTTCTCTTTAACGTTGCCAAGGCTACGAAGGTTTCAGCCTAGTATAGCTAGCAGTATAAAACTCAAGTTACAAGAGAGGCATACAATGAACTACTGTCCATGTGGCGCCACACCTCTGTCTGTTCTGCAAAAGCAGGACTGTTCTAATGGTGATAGTGCCCCTACTTGTGGTCGCAGGTGTGGTAAAGAGAAGCTAATTTGTTCTACCTCAGGTTGGTCATTAATCTATATATAGCTATCAAAAAATATTGTTTCATAGTTTTTGTTGCGCCATGACTATATTTTTGCATTGTTAGGAGAGCAGCACATTTGTCGTTCCCAATGCCATAATGGACCGTGTCCACCATGCACAAAATCACGTGTTGTGCAGTGCATTGAGTGCAAGGATAAAGTGCGTGTTGACTGTCAAGACCTAAAACAAACAGAGGAGTATATATGTGGAAGGTGCTTCAAACCCTGTAATAAAGTGAAGAATTGTGGACGTCATTGGTGTTACAAGCACAAGTGTCAGGTATGTACGGCTCTATCATGATTGAATTCTTCAATAATTGCAACTTCAGGGATCGGACTCATCACACTTGTGTGATAAGGTGTGCAATAGACGACTTGGATGTGGTAACCATGATTGTGACCAACCCTGCCACAGTGGAGACTGCAAAATGTGTCCCCATACAAGTAAGTAACACCTTGGTCTGGTAACGCTGACAAAGATATAAAGTATGTGGACCCACAAAATTTATTGTGTTAATGGTCCTATCCGTGTTACTGCTATTCAGGTATTCACAAACTTGACTGTGGCTGTAGTGAGGAAGTGGTAGTACCATGTGCAGCCACATTACCAACATGCAACAAACCATGTGCACGAATCCATGCCTGTGATCATGAAGGTACAGATCTCCAGGGAAAGTAAAATTAGTTATTCAGCATTTCTCTTCTGCAATCTCTTTCTCAGTGACCCATATGTGTCATAATAAAGACGCATGTCCTCCATGCACTACTCTAACAGACAAAATGTGTACTGGTGGACACAAGGTAAAAAAAGTGTTTTTTGACAAAACTTACTTTGTTCTTCTTTAGACAATTACAATGCCATGTTATACAAAAATCATGACATGTGATAGCATTTGTGGAAAAATACTTCCATGTGGGCAGCACCAGTGTCAAAGAAAGTGTCATGATGGTTACTGCACTAAAACCTCGGAAAAGTGCAAGCAGCTTTGCCAAACCCTTCGCAACAATTGTGGGCATATGTGTGGTTTAGTTTGTCATGCCCCGAAAGAGTGCCCAAAGACTAATTGCATGGTAAGCTCGCTAAACATGTTATTGCTTTCACGAAGACCTATACTACTGCTATTCAATAAATTGTATCCTTATAGGAAAAGTTAACTGTAACATGTAAGTGTGGTAAGATAAAACAACAAAAGCCTTGCTTCTTGTTGGTAACGGGCTCAGAAACTGATCACATGTTCCTGCAAAGGTAAACCAGTAAAATGCAATGCTACCACTGATGTGTACCCTCCACCAACCTCCCAGTCCTCAAAAGATCTTACAATGTGACAGTGAATGCAGGAGGAATTCACAGGCCAACTTGCCTCAGGACAGGTCTGAAAATTTGTTGGGTAACTAAAGTCTGAAAGCTATTATTACATGCATCTATTCTTTTTTCTCATGATGGAATAGAACAAATGATGTGGATTTCATGGATTTTGTGAAGTCAGAACTGCAATGGTTTACTGAACAGGCTAAGAAGGTAATAACAATGCATTACATAGGGTTATGTCATTGGTAACGGATTGCATTTAGGGACTGGTTGAACCAAGGTACAAGTTTGCAGCTACATCAAAAGAAAACAGACACATCATTCATGCTCTGGCACCACATTATGGTTGTACAACTGATAGCTATGGCACGGGCCCACAGCGTTACACTGCGGTTAGCTATGTAGGTAAGTTACCCAAAAACCAACATAGACAATGGCAGTTGGATAAATCCGATGCAGGTGAAACTTAAAGGAGAAGCACCGAAACAATGACAGAAGAGTTTTTTCTATTATTGCACAGTTATAGTTAGCTATACTCTTGAAGAAACATTTTATTAAAGCTACCTTCATGAATAATCGGGAAGCTTTTGTGGCCATGGGTACATAAAGCACTAAACCACAAACTGCTTCCATATCTGCAATGAAGTGAAGACATATTTGCACACATGGTTTTGGCATACTGATGAGGACCATTAGGTATTTGGCATTTCCAAACCTGTCAATTGTGCTTGTGTTAGCTTGTAACTCCCTGGAGGAGGTATGTCAGCGCTGATCTTGTAGAAGTAAATTACCTCACTCAATCACTTACATCATCTTGAAACTAGTCATGTCAACAAAGAGGTCAAAGCAAAGCAAAGGCAAACAAATCAACTACACCCAGGACTACTCTTTTTTCCAAGGAAAGAAGATGAGTTGCCCTGGGAGTCAAACCAACGACACTAGGCGAGTGCTCAACCAACTGACCTACCAAGACAACTTAAGCTGGCACAATACTTTCAAGCCACTTTTTTCAAACCACGAGTTGCCCTGGGATTCAAACCAACGACACTCTGCAGTCTAGGTGAGTGCTCAACCAACTGACCTACCAGGACAACTTCAACTGGCACAATACTTTCAAGCCACTTTTTCAAACCACAATAATTATATCCAACTCAACTGCATGATCAATACATGATGCAGCTTTCTTCCATGGCCGGTTGTGATTCATACTGAGCAATAAATGTTACAACAGATATTGCAATGACAACCAGGACTCTCCAGAAGGTCTTAACATCCTACACTTGCTCTGTGGTGAAAGGTCCACCATATTTTGACTTGCCATAGTCCAGTCTTGTTGGCCGTTCATTTACACAGTATGTGAAGGCACTTCTCTGAACTGGATATACACTTATGCTTTGCTGCATATTTCAGGACTTTGAAAATAAGACTCACTGGATTGACAGTCACTGGCTCTTTCACCAGCTTGTGGTGGAAATGAAAGTCCAAAATGAGTCCCACAGAAAGCAGTAGGGCTGGCAGCGGTGATAGTATCATGCTGATTTCTCTCAGTTGAAATTGTGTGCAACTGTAGATCACTGATCCCATGATTCCTGGTAGAGCTATTCCACTAAAATATGCCCAAAGAAGCCATTGTATGAAAGCAGAAATGCTAGAAACTGAAGCACTATGGATCTGGTCTATTCCTATATAGTGGAACTGCAGTGGTAATAAATGCTCCCAGAAGAACATACTGTGGTAGCACAAGAATTAGCTGGGTATAATGTATTGTTGTATTTGTTAGTGGGAGGCTCTTTTCACATACAGAGACAATAGCGGATAAAGTAGAGAGCAGCCACACTGCCCTCAGAGAGTGGCTCACTAGTTTGTAGCTACCTACTCTACAGCCACGTCTGCTAGGAGACTCACAACTGGAATCGAGATGCACAAAAGAGTAGAGATTCCCACAACTCCTTAACCACAGCTTCCTTCAAACGTGTCATTGTGAAGCTCAGGGAGCACTGAATGATAAACAGCCAACTCAGAACGAGTAAGGACGGAATTGCCATTTTCTATTAATTTGTCTAGTAGAATGTCTCACCTGCCATCCGTAGGTGTCCTGAATTCCTGGGGCTGATTCAGTTGATATGGCAAAGCCTGACTGCACTGTTGCGATGCCTTTTTCTCCACTCACAGTGATTACCATTGCTAGATCAAATTAAAAGCTGTATCTATACTTACTTTTATCACGTGTGTATAGCTATGAAGTATCAGTCTTTCTAAAATTCAGCCAATATCCCCCATAGGAACCAGGTCTTTCCTTCCCTGCTACAAACTTTAACTTTTCCACATGCAGAAATAATTATAACACTGTGTTAGCTAAATGTGTTGTACAGATAAAAATACTGAGTTATATTTAACTTTGATTTCTATGATATCCCATGCCAAGCTGAAAATTAGTTTTAGGTCAAAAATGTGGCACAGGGCAGGAATGTAACTTATAAACAGTTGGTTGTTAGTTTAGCATGCTACAATCTGGATAAAATCTAGGTGTTTTAGTGGCTGGGTGCTGGTGCACTATATTGATATGCATTAGACATTATTACCTTCTAAGCCATGTAATAAAAATGAGTCACCACAAACATGGACAAAAATAGCATCTACTGCACTTTAGGTTATTACAAGTACGAACTCGAGTAGCTATTAAAAGTTGACAGCTTTCTGCAAAGCTTTAGTTGTCATACTGAGAATCGTTGCTGTTGAAGATGACTGACTCATCAATCACTTCGTACAGCTGTTGATCGTTATTTTCAGTTGTCACGGCTGTTTCAGCAGGATCCACTTTATCATAATCATCATCATTGTCCTCTGCAGTAGCTTTATCAAATGCTTTGTACACGGTATTTGGGCTAGTGGTAATGTACATGTTTCCTGAACTCAGAGTGGTAGACTCTCATTTAGACTTGTTCTTAGACTTCTTTATAAAGAAGACGACACCAAATGTAATACTCACAAGTAGCACTGTATAAACAAGGAAACCACTTAGTGCACTTCGGTAAAAAAGATCTAAACAGCCTTAGCATGTTACATATTAAACTTAAGCTACTACAGGAATGCAACACAATGTTGGCGAGCGAGCGCGAACAGTTCAATACTTCATGCGTGTTTTGCATGTATTTAGAATGGTACGGTATGTTCTGTGCCTGACAGAGCTGTCACATGAGGATAAAAATTTCCCGCATTGAAACGACTAGATAGGCTCACTTTGCAAATTATCTCACCTATAGCAATTATAGTAGCAGTGACTGTCAGACCAGCTGTCAGTGGGACAATGATTTCCTAGGATACCAAGTGGACACTCGTTAAGTTGTTGTAATTGTGACAGATGATCACTAAGTATGGTAGTACTTAGTACAAGTGGAAAAATCATTTCTTCAAAATGAAATGGGGGATATAGGGATGGCTTGAAGCACCAAAAAGAAAGAAACAAGGGGTCATTACACAGCAAAGATGCACAAAGCTACATGACACCATCCCTATATCTTTGTCTCATATTATACTTTACTTCAAGGTAGCCTCTTCAATAATTGCAACTTCAGGGATCGGACTCATCACACTTGTGTGATAAGGTGTGCAATAGACGACTTGGATGTGGTAACCATGATTGTGACCAACCTGCCAAAGTGGAGACTGCAAAATGTGTCCCATACAAGTAAGTAACACCTTGGTCTGGTACGCTGACAAAGATATAAAGTATGTGGGACCCACAAAAATGTATTGTGTTAAGGGTCCTATCCGTGTTACTGCTATTCAGGTATTCACAAACTTGACTGTGGCTGTAGTGAGGAAAGTGGTAGTACCATGTGCAGCCACATGACCAACATGCAACAAACCATGTGCACGAATCCATGCCTGTGATCATGAAGGTACAGATCTCCAGGAAAGTAAAATTAGTATTCAGCATTTCTCTTCTGCAATCTCTTTCTCAGTGACCCATATGTGTCATAATAAAGACGCATGTCCTCCATGCACTACTCTAACAGACAAATGTGTACTGGTGGACACAAGGTAAAAAAAGTGTTTTTTTACAAAACTTACTTTGTCTTCTTTAGACAATTACAATGCCATGTTATACAAAAATCATGACATGTGATAGCATTTGTGGAAAAATACTTCCATGTGGGCAGCACCAGTGTCAAAGAAAGTGTCATGATGGTTACTGCACTAAAACCTCGGAAAAGTGCAAGCAGCTTTGCCAAACCCTTCGCAACAATTGTGGGCATATGTGTGTTTAGTTTGTCATGCCCCGAAAAGAGTGCCCAAAGACTAATTGCATGGTAAGCTCGCTAAACATGTATTGCTTCACGAAGACCTATACTACTGCTATTCAATAAATTGTATCCTTATAGGAAAAGTTAACTGTAACATGTAAGTGTGGTAAGATAAAACAACAAAAGCCTTGCTTCTTGTTGGTAACGGGCTCAGATACTGATCACATGTTCCTGCAAAGGTAAATCAGTAAAATGCAATGCTACCACTGATGTGTACCCTCCACCAACCTCCCAGTCCTCAAAAGATCTTACAATGTGACAGTGAATGCAGGAGGAATTCACAGGCCAAACTTGCCTCAGGACAGGTCTGAAAATTTGTTGGGTAACTAAAGTCTAAAAGCTATATTACATGCATCTATTCTTTTTTCTCATGATGGAATAGAACAATGATGTGGATTTCATGGATTTGTGAAGTCAGAACTGCAATGGTTTACTGAACAGGCTAAGAAGGTAATAAAAATGCATTACCATAGAGTTATGTCATTGGGAACGGATTGCATTAGGGATGTTGAACCAAGCGTAACAAGTTTTTGCAGTACATCAAAAGGACAAAGACAACATCATTCATGCTCTGGCACCACTTATGGTGTACAACTGTAGATATGGCAAGGGCCCACAGCGTTACACTGCGGTTAGATAGTAGGGTAAGTTACCAAAAAAACCAACATAGACTAATGGCAGTTGGATAAATCGATGACACGGTGAAACTTATTGAGGGATAGGGGAAGTCCCTCGTTGGAGAGAGAGTGTGGGGGTGAAGGCGGGATGGCGAGGGTGAAATCGTCGAAGGTGGGGGAGGTCGAAGATGAGGTGGGTGGGATTCAGGGGGGGGGTGGGGGCGGATCAGGGAGGAGGGAGGGGAAGGGGCGATATGACAAGGTGTGGGCGGTGTGGAGGGACCCCAGTCGGGGGAATTCTTTAGGGCGGGTGGGATTGCGCGGGGGCACCCAGGGTACTTCGGTTGTGCGGGGGGGTGGGGGGACTTGGAGCGGGGGCGTGCGATATCTGATAATGAGGCGGAGCGTTGGACGTAGTGTGTGGTGATGTTGAATAGGGGGGGGGAGGGGGGGGGGAGGCTGGGAAATGGGGGGGGTGGACGGACGAAGGAGATGACAGTGAGAGACAGGGGATGCTCGGGGTGGGGGAGTTCGGGGAAAGCCGGGGGATGGGGGGGGAAGGTAGAGGACGGGGGAGGAATAGGTGGTGGAAGACGCGAAGAGGGTGGATAAGGAATGGAGGGAGGGGGGGGGAGAGACTGGGAAGGGAAGCTAGGAGGGGGGGGAGGGTGGGGAAGGGGGGGGGGGAGGAGAGGGGGGGGAACAGGGAGGGTGGGGGGGCGATAGGAGGAGGGGAAGGGGGGGGGGGGTGGAAGGGGGGAAGGAAGGGGGGAAAAGAGGGGGAAGGAGAGGGGGGAAGGAGAGTGGGGGGGGTGGAGGGGGGGTGGGGGTAGGGGCGAGGAGTGGGGGGGAGGAAGAAGGAGGGGGAGCCGGGGTGGATCTGGCAGCGGTGGAGATATACCCCCGTAGAGTGATGTCTGGGGGAAAAGGGATGACACAGGAAATAGCGGGATATCGGGGGGGGGGATTTTGGAAGGGGGGGGGGGGGGGGTATAGATGGGGGGAAATGAAGGGAATGGGGGGGGGGAGGGAAGAGAAGGGGTGTGGGGGGAGGGGGAAGGGGAAGAAAGGGAAGATATGGTGGGTGGTGGGTACACCGGTGATTTAAACAATCTTATATTTCGCCAATATTTAATTGTTTTTATAATGTTTTATGTTTTTTTTGATTTTTTTTGTTTTTTAAATTTTTAACATAAAAGGAGATTTATTTTAATTTTGAAAGGATTTTAATATTAAAGGAGAAGCACCGAAAAAATGACCAGAAGAAGTTTTTTCTATTATTGCACAGTTATAGTTAGCTATACTCTTGAGAAACATTTTATTAAAGCTACCTCATGAATACTCGGGAAGCTTTTGTGGCCATGGGTACATAAAGCACCTAAAAACAAACTGCTTCATCTGCAATGAAGTGACAAGAAATATTTGCACACATGGTTTTGGCATTACTGATGAGGACCATTAGGTTATTTGGCATTTCCAAACTGTCAATTGTGCTGTGTTAGCTTGTAACTCCCTGGAGGTGGGGAGGTATGGCAGCGCTGATTTGTCTAAGTAAATTACCTCACTCAATCACTTACATCATCTTTAGTTTGGCAAACATGTCTGTCAACACACGAGGTCAAAGCAAAGCAAAGGCAAACAAATCAAACTACACCCAGGACTACTCTTTTTTCCAAGGAAAGAGAGTTGCCCTGGTGGGATTTGAACCCAACGACACTAGGCGATGTCTACCACGGACTGCAGCTGGCACAATACTTTCAGTCACTTTTTCAACCAGATTGCCTAGTGGATTCAAACAACGACACAGGATGCTCACCAACAGACCCTCAGCTGGCACAATACTTTCAAGCCACCTTTTTCAAACCACAATATATCCAACTCATCACAATGAAAGTATTCTGTTCACCACTGCATATATTAGAGAGTCGGTAAACTCTCTATATAGGGATGCCGCGGGTGAAATCTCACGTGATCCGCGTACAAAACGACTAAAAACTCGGTGAGAATCACTCCCTAGGCCTTCAAAACATACTAGCAATAGTCTACGGGCCCATATCTACCTATACATGACCCCCAAGACCTCATACGCACCTTCAGTCGTCCACGGGAGAATTCGCTCATACGCGATTTCACGATTTTCGTGTCATCATAATTATTCTTCATCTTCTTCTTCTTCTTCTTTAAACCCGCTATCTCCTTACCAGTACCAGTTCGAGCGCTGATTTTTTCACTGAAGGTCTCCCATTTCGCCGGAGGTGTGCACGGACATCAAGCTATCGTTTATTTCTTGCCGCTAGTCACTACGGTAGATCATGGAGCTCTTCCATGGTCGACACTGAACAACGTGCTAACTCAGCATCGGTGAGCCGCGCGCATGTGCAAGGCAGGGGCGTTGTCCAATGCGCTGTGCGCGCGTATTACCTGGGGAGTTGGCCTCCAGTACCTTCTCTAAGTAAGTGTGCACATTTCGAACTGGCTATATAGCTTGCTGTTGATTTGCACCAAGAGCAACTTGCCAGAGTCTGCGCGGTGTTACGCGAGCCTTGCGCGGGGCGCTCAGTCAAATGGGCCTTCATTGTTTGTCCTCCCCAGGTTGTAGCCTAATTACCAAAGCCTGCCCATGAAACCACAACCATGTGCAATAATCTAATTACATCCTTGTTGAAGACAATACATGAGGTGAATGCGGTGTCTAGCCCCCGCTTCAGGCATTAGCAGCCCCATTAGCTACTACTTTCAACAGTTACAATTTGTCTATGGTAGCTTATCTACACATGCCCACGAACATCAGCGTGACTCTAACAATAAATGCAGTGTTGTCATAAGCTGTTAAAAATAGTGGATACAAGGGGGATATAGGGATGGCTTGAAGCACCAAAAAGGAAGAAATAAGGGGTCATTACACAGCAAAGTTGCACAAAGCTACATGACACCATCCCTATATCTTTGTTTTATTGTTTATAAGCAAGGTTTAATATCGAACAAAGATATAGGGATGGTGTCATGTGGCTTTGTGCATATTTGGTGTGTAATGAATGACCCCTTGTTTCTTCCTTTTTGGTGCTTCAAGCCATCCCTATATCCCCCTTTCATTTTGAAGAAAAGATTTTTCCACTTGTACCAGAAGCAACTGCATGATCAATATAATGATGCAGCTTTCTTCCACTGATCCCATGATTCCTGGTAGAGCTATTCCACTAAAATATGCCAAAAGAAGCCATTGTATGAAAGCAGAAATGTTAGAAACGGAAGCACTATGGATCTGGTCTATTCCTCGTGGAACTGCAGTGGCAATAAATGCTCCCAGAAGAACATACTGTGGTACTACAAGAATTAGCTGGGTATAATGTATTGTTGTATTTGTTAGTGGGAGGCTCTTTTCACATACAGAGACAATAGCGGATAAAGTAGAGAGCAGCCACACTGCCCTCAGACAGTGGCTGACTACTTTGTACTTACCTACAGCCACGTCTGCTAGAAGACTCACAACTGGAATCGAGATACACAAAAGAGTAGAGATTCCCACAACTTTAACCTTCCTCAGGTTCAACAATCAAGTTCAAACGTGTCATTGTGAAGCTCAGGGAGCACTGAATGATAAACAGCCAACTCAGAACGAGTAAGAGAGTGTTCGAGCCAATGCAACGGAATTGCCATTTTCTATTAATTTGTCTGGTAGAATGTCTCACCTGCCATCCGTAGGTGTCCTGAATTCCTGGGGCTGATTCAGATGATATGGCGAAGCCTGACTGCACTGTTGCGATGCCTTTTTCTCCACTTGCAGTGATTGCCATTGCTAGATCAAATTAAAAGCTGTATCTATACTTACTTTTATCACGTGTGTATAGCTATGAAGTATCAGTCTTTCTAAAATTCAGCCGATATCCCCCCGTAGGAACCAGGTCTTTCCTTCCCTGCTACAAACTTTAACTTTTCCACATGCAGAAATAATTATAACACTGTGTTAGCTAAATGTGTTGTACAGATAAAAATACTGAGTTATATTTAACTTTGATTTCTATGATATCCCATGCCAAGCTGAAAATTAGTTTTAGGTCAAAAATGTGGCACAGGGCAGGAATGTAACTTATAAACAGTTGGTTGTTAGTTTAGCATGCTACAATCTGGATAAAATCTAGGTGTTTTAGTGGCTGGGTGCTGGTGCACTATATTGATATGCATTAGACATTATTACCTTCTAAGCCATGTAATAAAAATGAGTCACCACAAACATGGACAAAAATAGCATCTACTGCAGTTTAGGTTATTACAAGTACGAACTCGAGTAGCTATTAAAAGTTGACAGCTTTCTGCAAAGCTTTAGTTGTCATACTGAGAATCGTTGCTGTTGAAGATGACTGACTCATCAATCACTTCGTACAGCTGTTGATCGTTATTTTCAGTTGTCACGGCTGTTTCAGCAGGATCCACCTTCTCATAATCATCATCATTGACCTCTGCAGTAGCGTTATCAAATGCTTGTGTCACGGTTTCATGCTTTGGACACTAGTGTTTGAATAGTGTAATATGTCTCCTGAACTAAGAGTGGTAGACTCTCGTTTAGACTGTTCTTAGACTTCTTTATAAAGAAGACGGACACCAAATGTAATACTCACAAGTAGCACTGTATGTAAACAAGGAGAAAACCACTTAGTGTACTTTGGTAAAAAGATCTAAACAGCCTTAGCATGTTACATATTAAACTTAAGCTACTAGAGGAATGCAATGCAATGTTGGCGAGCGAGTGTGAGCAGTTCAATACCTTCATGGTGTTTTGCGCATATTTAGAATGACGTAGAACTTACTGTATATCAGTGCCTGACAGAGCCGTCACACTACAATAAATATATATAGAAAACTCCAGCATTGAAACAACTAGGTAGGCTCGCTTTGCTCACCAATTATCTCACCTATAGCAATGATAGTAGCAGTGACTGTCAAACAAGCTGCCAGCGGAACAACAATTTCCTAGGACACCAAGTAGACCCACTTGTTAAGTTGTTGTAATTGTGACAGATGATCAACTCACAAATGAGGCAGAGGACTCATCCTCACTGGGCGTGGCAGACGGAGATGGTTGCGACTGCAAATGACTAGATCGAAAAGTGGTGTCAGTAGGTGTGGATGACATGCCATTATAGCTGTCCAGACCAATGTTGTGTATAGCTAACCCATGAACAAAATTAACCCTTGCACCTTCAATAAGAATACATACAACCTATTTAGGACATGTTTAACGAATTTACATCTGATGGAAACATGGGTAGCTACTACTGTAATATTTGTTGTTTTGTTTAGTGCTTATTAACCCTTTG